GAGTCCCACAGGCCAAAAAGGCCCGATAAGACTCCTTCAGCCTGACAGCATCCCTCACCGACGGTGTCCACCACCGGGTTTGAGGGTTTCCGCCGCAACAGGCACCGACAACCGTGTGGCCGCAGCTCCGGTAAGCCGCCTCGACAATAGAGGCATGGAACATGGCCCACTCGGACTCAATATCCCCCACCTCCCCCGGAACATGTTTGAAGTTCTCCTGGAGGTGAGAGTTAAAGCTCCGTCTCACAGAAGACTCTGCCAGACATTCCCAGCAAACCCTCACAATACGTTTGGGTCTGCCAGGTCTGACTGGCATTCTCCCCCACCATCGGAGCCAACTCACCACCAGGTAGTGATCAGTGGACAGCTCCGCCCCTCTCTTCACCCGAGTATCCAAGACATGTGGCCGCAGATCAGATAAGACGATGACAAAGTCGATCATCGAACTGTGGCCTAGGTGTCCTGGTGCCAAGAGCACATGTGGACACGCTTATGCTATAACATGGTGTTAGTTATGGACAATCCATGACAAGCACAGAAGTCCAACAACAGAACACCACTCAGGTTCAGGGGGGGGGGGGGGGGGGGGGGGCGTTCCTCCCAACCACACCCCTCCAGGTCTCACTGTCATTGCCCACATGAGCATTGAAGTCCCCCAGCAGAACAAAGGAGTCCCCAGGAGGTGCACTTTCCAGTACCCCCTCCAAGGACTCCAAAAAGGTGGATAATCTGAACTGCCGTTTGGTGCATAAGCACAAACGACAGTCAGAACCCGTCCCCCCACACGTAGGCGGAGGAAGGCCACCCTCTCATTCACCGGTGTGAACCCCAACACACAGGCACCAAGATGGGGGGCAATAAGTATGCCCACTCCTGCTCGGCGCCTCTCACCAGAGGCAACTCCAGAGTGGAAGAGTGTCCAACCCCTCTCAAGGAAACTGGTTCCAGAGCCAGAGCCATGCGTAGAGGTGAGTCCGACTATTTCTAGCCGGAACCTCTCAACCTTACACACCAGCTCAGTCTCCTTCCCCACCAGTGAGGTGACATTCCATGTCCCACTAGCCAGCTTCTGTAGCCGAGGATCAGACCGCCAGGGTCCCCGCCCTCGGCCACTACCCATCCCACATTACACCCGACCCCTTTGGCCCCTCCCACAGGTGGTGAGCCCATGGGAAGGGGGACCCACGTCTCCTCTTCGGGCTGTGCCCGGCCGAGCTCCATGGGTCAAAGCCCGGCCACCAGGCGCTCGCCCACATGTCCCACCTCCAGACCTGGCTCCAGAGTGGGGCCCCGGTGACCCAAGTCCGGGCGAGGGAACATCAAGTCCATTTCTTTTTCTCATCATAGGGGTGTTTGGGCTGCACTTTGTCTGGTCCCTCACCTAGGACCTGTCTGCCATGGGTGACCGTACTAGGGGCGTAAAGCCCCTGACAGCATAGCTCCTAGGATCATTGGGACACTCAAACCCCTCTACCACGGTAAGGTGGCAGCCCAGGGAGGGGTAAGTTTGTTTAATGGTTTTAAATCTAGTTTTATTTAAATATAAACACATTGGTGGGCCAAACTGAGCTCACCCATGGGCCTGATTGGGCCCCCAGGCCTCCAGTTGAACAGCCCTGCTCTAAAGTGTCCCTGGGTGTGAGTGAGTGAATGTTTGTCTTGTTTGTCTCTATGTCTCCCTGTGATGGACTGGAGACCTGGTTGTCCCCGCCTCTCTAACAGTGACTGCTGGATATGGGCACCAGTGACCCCCGTGACCCGAAAAGGAAGAATCAGGCAAAGATAATGGATGGATGGATGGATGGATGGATGGATGGCAATCAGTTGAAAAGCCTTGGGCGAGCAACCGCAGCGCAGTTTGCTTTTGTGCTTTGTTTGTTAGGTTCACCCATCACGGTCCTTTTGTTTCAGCTTCCATCTTTTTGGTTATCCGAAGTAAAATAATATTTTAGTGTTTTTGTTGAAGCCAAAAGTAGAGATGCAGTTCAAATACAGAGAAAGTAATAAAAAATGTTAAAGTTTCAAAAGTTACTTGTAGAAGTGTATCTAATGTTAATTTTCCAAAAGTTTAGTTAAAACTTGTCCATTGATTCATTATAGATTTTGCTAACAGGCTGACACAAGCACAATCACCTGACGCCTTTGGCTTTTGTCAGCTGGCGATGTAAAACAAGTTTTGCATAGAACTACAACTCGTACTTTAAATTTTTGTAGTTGATCCAACTTCAGTCACACAAGTTCATAAACAAAGACACACGTAGAAGAGTTTTCAAAACATTTTATTTAGTAGAAGGCAGCTTCAAAACATTTTATTTAGTAGAAGGCAGCT